CTTTTATTTCTTTTAAAATGGCGCTGTGTAATTCCGAGTAAACCAGAAGTGATGTCAGGTCATCAGCGTCCCCTCCTGCTCCTTGTAATAGCGATCGAAAGGATAGTTAGGCGCTCTGATCGCTAATACAAGAAAGCCGGCTGCAAGTAACGAGGTGATGCTTGCAGCTGTAGGCATCATCCCGGTACAACCACATATAAAGACCAGTGACATACCAGGTATGTGACTGGTTGGCAAGTAGGTATAGTTAGTCACTCACTTGTTTCCTGGAAGTTGAAGGACTGCCAACTATTCAGGTCTAAAAATGACATGGCCCTTATGTAGGCATACTTACACTTCTTTTTTAAAGGAAAAGTTTCAAAATATGTATTTAGCTTTTTTTTTGTTGGTTCGGCCTTTTCTTGTGATGATCTCTTTCCAAATGCAAGTAGACCTCTGCCGCTGGTAATCAATATACTTGAATAGGAAGCAACAAAGCATTTTTTTTCTTTCCTTTATACATGTTGGCCATACACTTTTTAGTAATGTGAACTACAGACAGGTAATGCAGAAATGTGGGCTGCAAAATACAATAATGGGAAAGTCTTATTTCTGTTATGTTACTGGAAATACTGAACACGGCTTACATGGGCAGCACAGTGGTTAAGTGGTTAGCACATCCACCTAGCAGCACTAGGGTCGTCGGTTCGAATCCCAACCATGGCACCACCTGCCTGGAGTTTGCATGTTCTCCCTGTGTCTGCGTGGGTTTCCTCTGACACTCCAAAGACATGCTGGTAGGTTAAAGTGTTACCAAAGTCAAAAATGTGTTTTTACATTAAAATACCAAACATGTTATAGTCACCTGCTCTGTGCAGTGTTATTACACAGAGCAGCCTGATCCTCTTCTTCTCAGGTCCCCCACTGGCGATCTTGGCTCCTCCTCTTCTTCTTGTGTCCCCATAGCAAGCCGTTTGTTACGGAGGCACATAGGGGTTTATTTACTAAAGCTGGAGAGTCCAAAATCAGACTCCCTTCTGCATAGAAACCAATCAGCTTCTAACCTCAGCTTGTTCAATGAAGCTTTGGCAATGAAACCTGGAAGCTGATTGGTTTCTATGCAGAAGGGAGTCTGATTTTGGACTCTCCAGCTTTAGTAAATAAACCCCATAGTGTCTGCGAGCTCCCGAACTGTGTGTCTATGGAGCCGCCATCCACTGACTTACACAGCGGGACATAGCCCCTCTCCCCACTACATTTGATTGACAGTAGCAGGAGCCAATGGCTCCTGCTGCTGCTCGACAGCTGTGTGAAGAGGAAGAGAGAGGGGAAGAGATGCAGCCATGCACAATGCTGGATCTATTCTCCCCTTTCTTCCCCTTTACACAGGGAAGGGGGGAACAAAGAAATAGTTAAAAAAAAAAAACATTTTTTACTTTAATGAAAGTAATGCATTAAGTTAAAAAATGTTTTTAGCTTTAGCATTTCTTTAATTGGCTCCTGTCTAAATTGGCCCTAGTATGTGTATGAATGTGAGTTAGGGACCTTAGATTGTATGCTCCTTGAGGGCAGGGACTGATGTGAATGTGTAAAGCGCTGTGTAAATTGACAGCACTATATAAGTATCTGTAATAAATCAATAATACCCAAACAGGTTAAAGGGTAACTCCACTTTCATGGAAAATGGGAAATCCTGTCTAAAGGTATGCAGACCCTGCCAATATCCACATTAGAGCCCTGTAGGTGCAGCAACTGATTGATAATTATAGAACCACTCACATACAGATTCACTCAGAACATGGACACAAACAGCTATTTCTTAAGAATAAAAAGGTAGGAATCCGCAACAAAGTTTGTTAAAATCCCTGCAATGTACATAGGTCACCCAGAAGGGAATGTTATTTTTCTCAACAAAAGTGGAGTTACTCTTTAACCTCCTCCCCCCTGCCATATTAAAAAATGATGGACAGGCGGTGGTTCTCTCGTTCTGGGAGGACGTCATATGACGTCCCCCAACTCTTACTGTGCATGTGTGCCCCTGGGGGCACGCTGTGACCGGTGGTGCGTTGTGTCTCTAGGACACAGCAGATCACCAATCACAGTAAAGAGCCAATGACACTGTGTCCAATCACAACTGATCGCATGTAAACAAGGAAACGCTGGTTATCGGCAGTCCTCTCCTCTTGCTGACAGCGCAGGAAGAGAGGAGAGCCAGTAAGCAGCATTCTTCAGAGGGGACATCTACACTGATCATCAGGGCAGTGATGATCAGTGTAGCCCCATCAGTGCCCATCAATGCTACATATCAGTGCACATCAATGCCACATATCTGAGCCCCTCAGAGCTGCCTTTCAGTGCCAGTAATCAGTGCCGCCTGTCAATGCCAGTCAGTGCCACCAATCAGTGCCTGTCAGTGCTGCCCATCAGTGACCCCTAACAGTTCCAATCAGTGCCACCTAGCAGTGCCAGTCAGTGCCATACATGAGTGCTGCCTTTCAGTGCCCATCAGTGATGCCTGTCAATGCCCATCAGTGCCACATACCAGTGCCTACTCATCAGTGCCCACCACTGCAGCCTCATTAGCGCACATCAGTGAAGGAGAAAAATTACTTATTTACAAAATTTTATAACAGAAACTAAAAAAAACCTTTATTTTTTTTTTTTTTTTTCAATTTTCAGATTTTTAGTTTAACAAAAATTTTAAAAACTCAGTGGTGATTAAATACCACAAAAAGAAAGCGCTCTCTGTCTCAAAACAATGATAAAATGTTTGTTTAGGTACAGTGTTGCATGACTGCGCAATTTTCATTCAAAGTGTGACAGCGCTGAAAGCTGAAAATTGGCCTGGGCAGGAAGGGGGTATAAGTGCCCAATAGGCAAGGCGTTAAATTCCTACTAGGCTCAGTCACTGAGCACCATTCAACTCGGAGACATTTTGTGGCAAAAGGTAGTACTGCAGGCAGCTACGAATTAAAGAGGTTGTTCAGTCTGAGGGGAAAAAATTAAAAGTCGGCAGCTGCTGACTTTCAATAAAAGGACACTTACCTGTCCAGGGATCCAGAGCTGTCCTCACCCGGGCTCAGTAGCCTTTGGATTTTCAGTGCCGCCATCTTAACTGTAGGCAGTCGGCTATGCTGCTTTTGGCTTCATAACCGTCTGCCCCCTGCACATGCGCGAGCTGCGCTGCACTCTGTGAATGGTCCTGCAGTCTTCTGAGACCTGTGATCTGTCCCAGAAGACTGCAGGGAGGGAGGAGGGGAGAAGGACATATGTGTGTGTTGGAAGTGTCGCAGGCAGGCCGGAGCACAGCAGGGAGCCCCAAAGTGCCTGGTTGTCTAAGACAGCTGTGCAATATAACACCTCGTAAAAGATAACGCAAGCCTTCCCAGGAGTTCAGAGTGATTCCAAGGAAGCACACATAACTGAGCTAATAAACTTAACTCAGCGTATGTGACAGAACCAGATAACACTTTTAAAATCCATTTTCCCCTATGTCTCATATCTTGGAATATGAGAGACTTACATAAAAACCAGGCATATCTTCAAATTGGCCATGAGGAGACAAACAATTTGATAGGTCAAACTCTCCTTTGCTGGAATACATAGGAAAGCAGAAAAGTAGATCTCGTGAACCATTCAGTGTATAATTTCATATCTAATCATTCCTCAGATGTGTCTGCATAATAATCTACCCGCGGGTGGAATGTCACTTGTGCACAGGGAAAGTTATGAGCCAAAATATGAACTATAAGAGATTTTGGCTCTAGTTTAGGCCTACGCCCAGACCTTCCCTCCCTAAACGGGGGATTGGTCCTTGACTTCAGAGACACCCTCTGCTGGGGAACTACAAAATGGGATGTCAGGCCTAAGAAAGGAAGTTGAAGAATTCTCCCTTTTTAACATCAGAACCACCTGGGGAGACCCGCACCCTTTCGCTCTGAAACTTGATCTGCTAACCCAGGACTTTGGCAAGTACTTTAACCCTCTAACTTCTTTCTGTTATCTCTTTGCTGTGCTGTTGCTCTCTGTATATTTATATATATATATATATATATAATATAATATATATATATATATATATATATATATGAGTTACATCTTTTTCTGTAAATATTTGTATTGCACCCTTTTGACCTTTTAGTAATAAATCTTTCCTTCTGAAAGTGTTGAACTGTTTCTATAGCTCTTTATTGCAATATACTAATTCCTGCCTCTAAAAGAGCGCTACTGTGTTTGTTTAACCCTCTGGATAACCGGCCTGCGGTGACCGTGTTATACAGATGATTATCTCAACCATTATAGTGTTATAGCTGATATCGCCGAGTTTTCCTCTTTTTCTGTACAAAAAGGTGGTGGTGGCAGTGTGAAGGGTTAATTGCCTAATTAACCTGACCCAGTAGCAATCGCATTCAGGCTGCCGGTACATAGATTGTGGTCCAATTAGCTGGAAAATCGTTGTGCAGGGTGCAGCTGAGCATGTCATTGTGACGCACGTGACGTCGTGGTGTTAGATTGGCCAGTCCTTCAATCATGAGTTTGGTGAGAAGGTCAGGGGTCTGACGCCGTGTTTGTCACATATTGGTGGCAGCGATCGTGGGATCGTCACATTGCATGCTGAGCTGCTTCTTTTTTTTTTTTTTTTTTACACTGCCTTGAGGTCCATTTCATATAAGAAAAAAAAAAAAATATTGGCCAGCATTGGACTTTCAACTTTCAGAGATCTTTGATACAGGAGGCCTTTTGTTCATAATCAGGCTCAACAGGTGGCAAAATGCTCAGTGCACAATGCAGTGTCCATAGCACCAATGAGAATTCATATTATTGAAGGTAGAACAGCACAAGATTCTGATTGGCTGCCACAGTATTCCACTTTTTTCTCCTTTTGCTATTTTATTAAACAAACTTGAATACATTAAAATATGTACAATGACTATGTAAGTGTTATGACAGGCCAGGTGAGATGTGAGAAGTGTGAGTCCCGCTGAGGTTCTCAGAAATGACAGCAGCAGGGGTGACTTCCTTCACCTCTTCTTCTTTGTCTCTTTCTTCTGCTTTTTACCAGTTGTCACAGTGGCCATCTTAGGTTTTCTCACTACATCTGTGCTTTTTACTTCTGAAGTGTCAGGTTCCTGGTGAGAGGGATGACAACAATTAGAGCTCTTGCACACAGGCACCAAAAATGTCACATTTTTAGATTTTCAGGCACTTTTTTTTTTACTGATCTGAATGCAGACCATTGGTTTCAATGTGCCTGTACACACAGGCATGTAAGGGCAAATTTACACTTGTGGTAGCCCTGAACGATCTACAGTGAATTGCTTTTCAGAGGGCCGTTTGATAAGTGGCAAGGTGATGTGTCATCTCCTCACTCCCTGTTTTTAACCCCTGAAAGCCCGTAGCACTGTTTTGCACAGTAGAAAAAAAAAATCCTATACCCAGAGTTGATTTAGAGCAGCGGTTCTCAACCTGGGGGTCGTGACCCCTTTGGGGGTCGAACGACCATTTCCCAGGGGTCGCCTAAGACCATCGGAAAACACATATTTCCGACGGTCTTAGGAACCGAGACACCGCTCCTGTCTCTGGCGATGTGTGGGCGGGATGATATGCTGCCCCTGTCACCGCCTCCTCACCGCTGATTGGCCACCGGAACTGTAGCTCAGGAGAGGCACACAGGTGGCCAATCACCGGCGAGGAGGTGGAGCTTGGAGAGGAGGAGCCGAGCGGCAGCGCGCGTAGATCAAAGAAGATCGAGGGAGCTGCAGGAGCGAGTGAAGAGAGAGGCCAGAGAAGGAAGACAGCTGACAGGTAAGTGCAAATTTTGCTGCTACAGCCAGGTATGCAGGCTGTAGATGGGAGAGGGAGAGAGCGAGCCCAGGCTGGAGCAGGAGTCAGCAAGGTAAGTATCATTGGTGTCAGTGGGAGGAATAGTGCCCCATCATTTGTGTCACTAATACCAACGATGGGGCACTATTCCTCCCCCCACTGACACCAACGATGGGGCACTAATTCCTCCCCCCACTGACACCAACGATGGGGCACTATTCCTCCCCCCACTGACACCAACGATGGGACACTATTCCTCCCCCCACTGACACCAACGATGGGACACTATTCCTCCCCCCACTGACACCAACGATGGGGCACTATTCCTCCCCCCACTGACACCAACGATGGGGCACTATTCCTCCCCCCACTGACACCAACGATGGGGCACTATTCCTCCCCCCACTGACACCAACGATGGGGCACTATTCCTCCCCCCACTGACACCAACGTTGGGGCACTATTTCCCCCCCCACTGACACCAACGATGGGGCAATATTCCTCCCCCCACTGACACCAACGATGGGGCACTATTCCTCCCCCCACTGACACCAACGATGGGGCACTATTCCTCCCCCCACTGACACCAACGATGGGGCACTGTTCCTCCCAATGACACCCACGATGGGGCACTATTCCTCCCCCTGGCACCGACGATGGGGCACTATTCCTCCCACTGACACCAATGATGGGGCACTATTCCTCCCACTGACGCCAATGATTGTACACTATTCCTCCCACTGACGCCAATGATGGGGCACTATTCCTCCCACTGACGCCAATGATGGGGCACTATTCCTCCCCACTGACACCAATGACGGGGCACTATTCCTCCCACTGATACCAATGACGGTGCACTATTCCTCCCACTGATACCAATGATAGGGCACTATTCCTCCCACTGACACCAATGATGGGGCACTATTCCTCCCACTGACACCAATGATGGGGCACTATTCCTCCCACTCACACCAATGATGGGGCACTATTCCTCCCCCCACTGACACCAACGATGGGGCACTATTCCTCCCCCCCCACTGACACCAACGATGGGGCACTAGTCCTCCCCCCCCACTGACACCAACGATGAGGCACTATTCCTCCCCTCACTGACACCAACGATGAGGCACTATTCCTCCCCCCACTGACACCAACGATGAGGCACTATTCCTCCCCTCACTGACACCAACGATGAGGCACTATTCCTCCCCCCCACTGACACCAACGATGGGGCACTATTCCTCCTCCCACTGACACCAACGATGGGGCACTATTCCTCCCCCCACTGACACCAACGATGGGGCACTATTCCTCCCCCCACTGACACCAACGATGGGGCACTATTCCTCCCCCCACTGACACCAACGATGGGGCACTATTCCTCCCCCCACTGACACCAACGATGGGGCACTATTCCTCCCCCACTGACACCAACGATGGGGCACTATTCCTCCCCCCACTGACACCAACGATGGGGCACTATTCCTCCCCCCACTGACACCAACGATGGGGCACTATTCCTCCCCCACTGACACCAACGATGGGGCACTATTCCTCCCCCCACTGACACCAACGATGGGGCACTATTCCTCCCCCCACTGACACCAACGATGGGGCACTATCCTCCCCCCCACTGACACCAACGATGGGGCACTATTCCTCCCCCCACTGACACCAACGATGGGGCACTATTCCTCCCCCCCCACTGACACCAACGATGGGGCACTATTTCTCCCCCCACTGACACCAACGATGGGGCACTATTCCTCCCCCCCACTGGCACCAACGATGGGGCACTATTCCTCCCCCCACTGACACCAACGATGGGGCACTATTCCTCCCCCCACTGACACCAACGATGGGGCACTATTCCTCCCCCCACTGACACCAACGATGGGCACTATTCCTCCCCCCACTGACACCAACGATGGGGGGGCACTATTCCTCCCCCCACTGACACCAACGATGGGGCACTATTCCTCCCAATGACACCCACGATGGGGCACTATTCCTCCCCCTGGCACCCACAATGGGGCACTATTCCTCCCACTGACACCCACAATGGGGGACTATTCCTCCCACTGACACCAATGATGGGGCACTATTCCTTCCACTGATACCAATGATGGGGCACTATTTTCCTCCCACTGACGCCAATGATTGGGCACTATTCCTCCCACTGACGCCAATGATGGGGCACTATTCCTCCCACTGATACCAATGATGGGGCACTATTCCTCCCACTGACACCAATGATGGGGCACTATTCCTTCCACTGATACCAATGATGGGGCACTATTCCTCCCACTGATACCAATGATGGAGCACTATTCCTCCCACTGATACCAATGATGGGCACTATTCCTCCCACTGATACCAATGATGGGGCACTATTCCTCCCACTGATACCAATGATGGGGCACTATTCCTCCCACTGACACCAATGATGGGGCACTATTCCTTCCACTGATACCAATGATGGGGCACTATTCCTCCCACTGATGCCAATGATTGTACACTTTTCCTCCCACTGATACCAATGATGGGGCACTATTCCTCCCACTGATACCAATGATGGGGCACTATTCCTCCCACTGATACCAATGATGGGGCACTATTCCTTCCACTGATACCAATGATGGGGGCACTATTCCTCCCACTGATACCAATGATGGGGCACTATTCCCCCCACTGATACCAATGATGGGACACTATTCCTCCCACTGATACCAATGATGGGGCGCTATTCCTCCCACTGATACCAACGATGGACACTATTCATCCCACTGACATCAGTGATGGGGCGCTAGTCCTCCCACTGCAAAATTACAGTTTATGAAGTAGCAACGAAAATAATTTTATGGTTGGGGTCACCACAACATGAGGAACTGTATTAAGCGGTCGTGGCATTAGAAAGGTTGAGAACCACTGATTAGAGGAAGGCAAAAAAACCCAGCAAAGCATGGTCCAATTTGCTCCTGCAAGGGAAAAAATGTCCTTCCTGATCCCCCGAGAGGTAATCGGATATTCCCTGGATCACCTTTACCTATAAATAAATGTTAGTATCCAGTTATATTCTGTGTCTCTAAGAATGAATCCAGGCATTTTTTTAAAGCAATCCACTGGGCTGGCCAGAACCAACTCTTGAGGGAGTCTATTCCACATTTTCACAGCTCTCACTGTGAAGAAACCTTTCCATGTTGGAGATTAAATTTATTTTCCTCCAGATGTAAAGAGTGCCCCCTTGTCCTCTGTGATGACCTCAGGGTGACTAGCTCTACACCGAGTTCACTATATGAACCACTGATGTATTATACATGGAGATCATATCCCCCCTTATATATTATACATGTTGATCATATCCCCCCTTATGTATTATACATGGAGATCATATCCCCCTTATGTATTATACATGGAGATCATATCCCCCCTTATGTATTATACATGGAGATCACATCCCTCTTATGTATTATACATGGAGATCACATCCCCCCCTTATGTATTATACATGGAGATCATATCCCCCCTTATGTATTATACATGGAGATCATATATCCCCCCTTATGTATTATACATGTTGATCATATCCCCCCTTATATATTATACATGTTGATCATATCCCCCCTTATGTATTATACATGGAGATCATATCCCCCCTTATGTATTATACATGGAGATCATATCCCCCCTTATGTATTATACATGGAGATCACATCCCCTTATGTATTATACATGGAGATCATATCCCCCTTATGTATTATACATGGAGATCATATCCCCCCTTATGTATTATACATGGAGATCATATCCCCCCTTATGTATTATACATGTTTGATCATATCCCCCCTTATGTATTATACATGGAGATCATATCCCCCCTTATGTATTATACATGGAGATCACATCCCCCTTATGTATTATACATGGAAATCATATCCCCCTTATGTATTATACATGGAGATCATATCCCCCCTTATGTATTATACATGTTGATCATATCCCCCTTATGTATTTACATGTATTATTATACATGGTGATCATATCCCCCCTTATGTATTATACATGGAGATCACATCCCCCCCCCTTATGTATTATACATGTTGATCATATCCCCCCTTACATGTATTATACATGGAGATCATATCCCCCCTTATGTATTATACATGAGAGATCATTATCCCCCCCTTATGTATTATACATGGAGATCATATCCCCCCTTATGTATTATACATGTTGATCATATCCCCCCTTATGTATTATACATGTTGATCATATCCCCCCTTATGTATTCATATCCCCCATGTATTATACATAGTGATCATATCCCCCCTTATGTATTATACATGTGATCATATCCCCCCTTATGTATTATACTGGATGCTTTCATATCCCCCCTTATGAGATCATATCCCCCCTTATGTATTATACATGATCATATCCCCCCTTATGTATTATACATGGAGATCATATCCCCCCATACATGAGATCATATCCCCCCTTATGTATTATACATGGTTGATCATATCCCCCCTTATGTATTATACATGGAGATCATATCCCCCCCCTTATGTATTATACATGGAGATCATATCCCCCCTTATGTATTATACATGGAGATCATATCCCCCCTTATGTATTATACATGAGATCACATCCTCCTTATGTATACATATCCCCCCTTATGTATTATACATAGTGATCATATCCCCCCTTATGTATTATACATGGAGATCATATCCCCCCTTATGTATTATACATGGAGATCATATCCCCCCTTATGTATTATACATGGAGATCATATCCCCCCTTATGTATTATACATGGAGATCACATCCCCCCCTTATGTATTATACATGCTGATCATATCCCCCTTATGTATTATACATGCTGATCATATCCCCCTTATGTATTATACATAAAGATCATATCCCCCCTTATGTATTACACATAGTGATCATATCCCCCCTTATGTATTATACATGGAGATCATATCCCCCCTTATGTATTATACATGTTGATCATATCCCCCCTTATGTATTATACATGGAGATCATATCCCCCCTTAATCTCCTCTTCTCAAGAGAGAATACATTCAGTTCCTCTAACCTTTCCTCATAGCTGAGCTCCTCCATGCCTCTTATCAGTTTGGTTGCCCTTCTCTGTACTTTTTGAAATTTGTCCGGTTCAGCGGGGACTGGGCGAATTGCGATCTGTGTGTGGACCCCCCAGCTTGACAGAAACGTTTTGTTAGAACGACTTCTGGCGAACAGACAAGCTGGACAATTTTTGTCAATTAGTGTCTGCAGATGCTGATCACTGTATTCTGACAGTAAGAGAAGCAGCTGTCGGAGTACAATCCCTCGAGTGAGATTCTTCCATCCACCTCGCTTGTGTGGATGGGAGAATCGTTTTTGATTTTTTTTTAGACCGCTGGCTGCACAAAAAGAAACAAAAAGGCAAACTATCTATGCCAAGCTTTAGGGCCAATTTAGTTCTGTGCACGTTCCTTGTAACACATTCATTTGTGATCTGCAGCAGATGTTAACTTAAGAACAGCCCAAACGCAGAGTTTGCCTACACTGGAGTGCATGGTAAAGACGTAGCATGCAATATAGTTGCTGTGTGTTTTGTAGTGCATGTAGTACTGTTGGTGCTGTCCGGTGTCATTTCAGCCCATTCATTAGAAATCGCAGTGCACCTGGATCACATGTGAATTGCACAGGAATGCACTGCGCTCTCCTGTGTGTTCATGGTGTGAACTGGACCTGAAACAAGCCACTTGTTAGGAGGTGCTGCAATACAAAATCTCTAAACTTAAAACGGAGCTCCAGGCTACCCCCCCCCCCCCAAAAAAAAAAATTAAAAGTCAGCAGCTACAAATACTGTAGCTACTGACTTTTACTATAAGGGGACTTACCTGTCCAGGGGTCCAGTGATGTTCTCACCCAAGTCGATTCTTCAATCGGTTTTGGGTGCAGGTGATGGCATCTTCAAGAAGGGGAACTGGAGATGAAGCCTTGCGGCTTCACAGTCGGCTTCCTACAGCACATGATGCACTGCGCTCTGTGAATGGGCCACAGTCTTCTTGGACCTGTGAAGTGTCCCAAAAGGCTGACCCTGAAGTTGGAGTGGGTACCTGTCAAAACCAGATACTCGCTCACTCCTCCCACCTAAAAAGTGTCCAATGTGGCAGTGGAGGAGGCAGACAAGCGAAAAGTCCCCTTTTGGGTGGAGTTGCTTTAATAGGTGTCTTGGGCAACTCCCAGTGCCGTGGATAAGGGGGTACTACCAGTCCTCCTGTACGGGGCCCAGGCAGCTGACTGAATCCGATATGGGCAGGGAGGGTGATCGGCATGGCGGGGGGGGGGGGGGTAATTAGTGGAACTGGAACCAATCCCTGTATGGCTCTTTCCGCAGCAGCTGATAGCTGGCTTCTCCTCTCCCTCCTGCTGACTTTCAGCTGCTGCAGAGAGCCATACAGGGGATCGGTTTCAGTAATTGTCCCCTTCCCCGCTGCACCCTCCCTGTGCATCATACATTTCCCTCCTTCTGCCCAGGCCCCCCACCCCCACAGTGCTGCCGGCTTCCCTCCTCTCCTTCCCACTGGCAGCTGCAAGCACACAAAAGGATCCTTCATGATGGGGAGTGGAGGATGGGTCTGGTAAATATGTCACATTTACCAGCCTCTTCCTGTCCTGAATGAACACAATGAGTGATTGGTACCGATCACTCACTGTGTTCATTCATAACTGAAGCATAGAAAACTGTGTTGTATTTTTTTGGGGGGGCCGTCAGGTTGGCTGTATGAGGCCCCGTGGTTTCTAACAGCAGCCCTGGCAACACCTCCCTGAATTTATCTTAGCTGGTTACTCTACAATGGGGTTTCAGAAACCTTGGGCAGTCCTCAATTTTCTGTTAGTAACAAGCAGAGTGCTGTACATCTCTGATCTTAAAAAAAAAACCAAAGTTTAATAACTCCTAAAATCTCTCACCGTGTCCTGTGATTTGCTTCCAGGGAATATAATAGCCAGGATGCAGATGAGCTGAAAGATTGCTCCGCAGAACAGTCCATAGCGGAGTAAGGTCTCTAGAAAGCTGGGCTCTGGAATGTCTGGAGGTGAGAGATCCAGAGGCTCCGGCATCCTTAATGGACTTGTAACCTGCAAGGACACAATCACTATTAAAAATGCCAGCCCCAGGCAACAATTCAATCATGCCCAATTGCCCTATGCACCTAGGGCCTTTGATGTGCAGAAACTGTCTGGGGGGGTCATTCATTACACACAGCAGTCACAGTACCCAGTGTCAAGGCTCCTAGCACAGAATGTCCCTTTTCCGGTCCAGGTTCTGTTTTGCAGGAGATCAGATGACGCCAACATTAAGAAAAAAAGCATTTACTTAATACCAGACAAACAGCTAAATACACAGATGAAATACACAAAAGGGAGTTGTTTTACCTGTCTCCATCCAGTTCTGAGATTTACACAGCTCTGCCACATAGCACAGCCCTGTCTGTCAAAGCAGGGGACCTGATTATTCTCTGCTGCATTTAAGCAACACTTAGAGACCTCCCCAGCCTGTGACTTGAAAATGAAAGGATACACAGCACAGAAGAGCTCATCCTTCTGTCATCCTGCTCTCTCCTCCTATCAGCATGCTCCTTGCACTTCAGTACAACTGACTGGCTCCTTATGCTTCTTCCTCAACCAGTCTGAGCTGTTTTATGAACACACATCTGTATAAATTACAACACTAAGAGGTTTATATATTCAGCCACCACAAATTCTAATATGCTGATTTCCTATAATCATCAGCTCCATCTAGTGGGCATAATGCGGCCTTTTCCTGATTGAGGTTTTTACAGGAAAAAAACAAATGCATTACGGCCATTAGATGGCACTGGTGATCATAGGAAATCAATGTATTACGCAAAATATCTTCAGAATTCATGATGGTTGGCTGAATGCTTGTACCATTTGTCCAATACAGTTTTTATAAATAGAATATTTATTTATTATACATTAAATGATTATAAATAAAATGTCTTTAAATAAATACTTTTTTAATAAACCCCCTAAGTATATGTCTGGTTTATCCATAACTAACTGTAGCTGTGACACCCACTAGACAACTGCTCTATAATCATGTAACAATGATATCAACAGAAATGTGAAGAATCTAAGATTTGTAATGCCCCATCATTCTGAATATTTAATTTATTTTGTTTGTTTTTTTTATGGTACTTAGATGCAATCTGATTGTACGGTCAAGTTGTAACAGCTAAGGTGTGTCTTGCCATACATTATACAATTTTCCTGAGATTTTTGCTTTAGATTTACCAAAATCTATATAATAGGAGGTCAAACCTAACAACACTTTCAATTGTATCTAATCAGGCAGGCTCTTGCACTACATAGTGGAAGGGAACTCTAAAGGAAATTGGGCAGAAAACTGTAAGAAAATTGTATAGTGTATGGCCAGTCTTACTAAACAACAGCAATGAAAGCTCAGGTCCTCTCCCTGTCAGACAAGACTGTGCTGTGTGGCAGAGCTGTGAAAATCTCAGGACTGGATAGAAAGAAGTAAAAAATCGTTTGATGGGTAAAATTGTTCCCATATATGTATTTCAATTGTGTTTTTAGCCGTTTGCCTGGAGATCAGCTTTATATGTATCATAACAGTTGTCTTTATCTGAATGAATCACACTTTTTAAGCAGTTACATCATTTTTCTTTTATTTTGGGAAAAAAAAAAGGTTTAAATTTTACCAGCGCCCACACTGTGCACATTCAAGCATTTGCATATTCTGAGCAGTAAAAGCACTTAAAGCACACCTTCCACCAAAAACAACGTCTCCCCCCTACACAGCACTATATAAATGCAGCATTTTAAATATTCATTGGCTCCTTTTTTCTCTTTTTAAAAACTAAATGGTCCCTATTCTTTAATTCTGGTCTAGGTGAACATTATGTAACAGGCCATTACTGCGACGGGGGGGGGGGGGGGGGGGGGGGGGGGGGGGGGGGGGGGAGTGGGTGGCAGAGAGCGAACTTCGCATATGCGGGTTTGTGAATGAGGGAGAGACTTCCTCCCTGTGATGGTACAAAAGGACTAAATGTACCACAAGGCTTAGTATCTAGGCAGACCCCTCACAATGCTGCTTATGGCAAGACTTTGGGGAAGCCACCCTTGGCCTACAAGTACCGTATTTTTCGCTCTATAAGACGCACTTTTTCCCGCGAAAAAAAAGGGGGGAAAATGTCAGTGCGTCTTATGGAGCGAATATAAAGTGGCCGGTCCGGTATTTCCACCGCCACCATGTCAGAATACCGGGCCGGCCACTCAGCTGTTCTCTGCTGCAGGACCTTACCTGTTCCTCGCTCCAGCGCTGTACAGTCTTCCCGCGTCGGCATCTGTGACAGCCGGGTGCCCACTGTGCATGCGCGAGAAGCACTGCGCTTTGTGAATGGTCCGGCGTCTTCTGGGACACATGACAGGTCCCAGAAGACGTCGGGCCATTCACAAAGTGCAGCGCTTCTCGCGCATGCGCAGTGGGCACCCGGCTGTCTCAGCCAGGTGCCCACAGTAAAGGGAGGACAGCTCCGTGGAAGTGGGAGCGGGTACCTATCAAATTCAGGTACCCACTCCCCCTCCCTCCCTAAAGGTCCGCAGTCTCTGGTCATCCCCTGTACCGTGTCCGCAGTCTCTGGTCATCTCCTGTACCGTGTCCGCAGTCTCTGGTCATCTCCTGTACCGTGTCCGCAGTCTCTGGTCATCCCCTGTACCGTGTCCGCAGTCTCTGGTCATCCCCTGTACCGTGTCCGCAGTCTCTGGTCATCCCCTGTACCGTGTCCGCAGTCTCTGGTCATCCCCTGTACCGTGTCCGCACTCTCTGGTCATCCCCTGTACCGTGTCCGCAGTCTCTGGTCATCCCCTGTACCGTGTCCGCAGTCTCTGGTCATCCCCTGTACCGTCCGCAGTCTCCGCAGTCCGCAGTCTCTGGTCATCCCCTGTACCGTGTCCGCAGTCTCTGGTCATCCCCTGTACCGTGTCCGCAGTCTCTGGTCATCCCTGTACCGTGTCCGCAGTCTCTGGTCATCCCTGTACCGTGTCCGCAGTCTCTGGTCATCTCCTGTACCGTGTCCGCAGTCTCTGGTCATCTCCTGTACCGTGTCCGCAGTCTCTGGTCATCTCCTGTACCGTGTCCGCACTCTCTGGTCATCTCCTGTACCGTGTCCGCACTCTCTTGGTCATCTCCTGTACCGTGTCCGCACTCTCTTGTCATCTCCTGTACCGTGTCCGCACTCTCTGGTCATCTCCTGTACCGTGTCCGCACTCTCTGGTCATCTCCTGTACCGTGTCCGCAGTCTCTGGTCATCTCCTGTACCGTGTCCGCAGTCTCTCTGGTCATCTCCTGTACCGTGTCCGCAGTCTCTGGTCATCCCTGTACCGTGTCGCAGTCTCTGGTCATCCCCTGTACCGTGTCCGCAGTCTCTGGTCATCCCCTGTACCGTGTCCGCAGTCTCTGGTCATCCCCTGTACCATGTCCGCAGTCTCTGGTCATCCCCTGTACTATGTCCGCAGTCTCTGGTCATCTCCTGTACTATGTCCGCAGTCTCTGGTCATCCCCTGTACCGTGTCCGCAGTCTCTGGTCATCCCCTGTACTATGTCCGCAGTCTCTGGTCATCCCCTGTACTATGTCCGCAGTCTCTGGTCATCCCCTGTACTATGTCCGCAGTCTCTGGTCATCCCTGTACTATGTCCGCAGTCTCTGGTCATCCCCTGTACTATGTCCGCAGTCTCTGGTCATCCCCTGTACTATGTCCGCAGTCTCTGGTCATCCCCTGTACTATGTCCGCAGTCTCTGGTCATTCCCTGTACTATGTCTGCAGTTCATTGGTTCAGAATATTTTTTTTCTTGGTTTTCTCCTCTAAAACCTAGGTGCGTCTTAAGGAGTGAAAAAGGGAGGAAGAAGGAGTAGAGAAGAGGGGAGGAAGAAGGAGTAGAGAAGAGGGGAGGAAGAAGGAGTAGAGAAGAGGGGAGGAAGAAGGAGTAGAGAAGAGGGGACAAAGAAAGAGTAGAGAAGAGGGGAGGAAGAAAGGAGTAGAGAAGAGGGGAGGAAGAAAGGAGTAGAGAAGAGGGGAGGAAGAAAGAGTAGAGAAGAGGGGAGGAAGAAGGAGTAGAGTAAGAGGGGAGGAAGAAGGAGTAGAGAAGAGGGGAAGAAGAAGGAGTAGTGAAGAGGGGAGGAAGAAGGAGTAGAGAAGAAGGGAGAAAGAAGGAGTAGAGAAGAAGGGAGAAAGAAGGAGTAGAGAAGAGGGGAGGAAGGAGTAGTGAAGAGTCGAGGAACAATGAGTGGTGAAGAGGCGAGTAAGGAGTAGCAAAGAGAAGAGGAAGTAGACGTAGCGAAGAGGAGAGGAAAAAAAGGAGCAGTGAGAAAGGAGGAAGAAGGAGCAGTGAAGAGGAGAGGAAGCAGTAGTGATGAAGGAGGAAAGAGGGAGCAGTGAAAAGGAGAGGAACGAGCAGTGAAGAGGAGAGGAAGGAATAGTGAAGAGGAGAGAAAGGAGCAGTGAAAGAAGAGAGGAGGAGCAGTGAAGAAGAGAGGAAGGAGTAGTGAAGAGGAGAGGAAGGAGTAGTGAAGAGGAGAGGAAGAAGTAGTGAAGAAGAGAGGAAGGAGTAGTGAAGAGGAGAGGAAGGAATAGTGAAAGAGGAAGGAGTAGTGAAGAAGGAGGGAATATGAAGGAGGAGGAAGAAGGAGCAGTGATGAAGGAGAAGGAAGAAGGAGCAGTGATGAAGGAGGAGGAAGAAGGAGCAGTGATGAAGGAGGAGGAAGAAGGAGCAGTGAAGAGGAGAGGAAGGAATAGTGAAGGGGAGAGGAAGGAGTAGTGATGAAGGAGCAGCGAAGAGGAGAGTGAAGAAGGAAAAAAGTTAAGAGGGGTAGAAGGAGTAGCAAGGAAGGAGAAAGGTTAAGGGGGAGGAGGAAGGTGTAGTGATGCAGGAAAAGATAAGGGAGGAGAAAAACAGGATTAGTGAAGAGGAAGGAAGAGACAAGAAGAAGGAATAACAATTAAGAGGGGAGGAAGAAAGAGTAATGAGGAATGAAGAAGTTAAAGTAAAGAGGGGGAATGAAGAAAAAAGATAGAAAGAGTGGAGAAGAGGAAGAGAAAATATAAAAATAAGAAGGGGGGAGATTAAAGCGGAGTTCCACTCACACTGTAAAAAAATAAGTCAGCAGCTACAAAAACTGTAACTGCTGACTTTTAAAAAACAGCCACTTACCCGTCCCACGATCACGCAGTGTCCTCCCCCAGCCCATTTACCAGCCATCTGGTGCTCCAAGCGCCGGCATCTTCAGTGTGGGCACCCGGATGTGACAGCTTGCGGCTTCAGAGCCGGGTGCCCACTGCACATGTGCGAGAAGCACTGCACTTTGTGAATGGCCCTGTAGTCTTCTGGGACCTCTCACATGTCCCAGAAGCCTAGGTATCACAGAGGAAGTGGGAGCGGGTACCTATCAAATTCCCCCCAGCTCCTCAAAGGTGCCAATCCTTAATGGGGAGCGGGGTAGCAGTCTTTAAGGCGGAACATCCCCCTTTGGGTGGAACTCCACTTTAAAGAAAAGAGAAGGTGAGAGCAGCAGGAGGGGGATGGTGGCGATGTCATGAAGAGTAAAGCTGGGTACAGACAGAAAATCGTTCTGTTCAGCAGGCACCGGCCGCCCTTTGTTCTGTGTCTGACCATTGAATTCTGATGAACGGTTTCTTTTGGAAATCCAGCATTTGATCAGTGCATGTAGCCAATGGATGCAGCGCTGATCTGTGTATTCTGGGGGGGTCCGCTGTCAGAATACAATGGTGATGTGGGCAGATCCCTACGTCTGCATGGTTGGTGTCGGTGTAGGGATCTGTGAGATATTTTTTTTCAACCCGCTGCCTGAATGAAACAACTGTCCATGTATGTCCAGGTTCAGAGAGAAGGAAAGAGGAAGAGAAGGGTGAAGGGATGAAGAAGAGGAAAGGTAAGTAGACTGAGGTGATGGGAAGAGACAATGTCAGGAGGAGGAGGGAAGAAGGGAGCGGAGTTTCCTGCCCTGGAGTGTGCTGTGTCTGACAGACAGAAGGGGGCGCTCTGTGACAGACTCCATGGCTTACAATGGAAGTGTTGCCCCGGACAGAGCAGATCGCTGTATATTAGATTGCAGCGCTGTGTATGGACAGATCTCACTTACACACAATGGACAGACACCTCTGGGCCCGGATCGGACGCTCTCACTGTCAGGAAGTGATCTGAAGTCCCTCCCCCGCCTCTAGTGATCAGTATATTCATGTCCTCAGTTCCGCCATTTTCCTGTAGCCCACCTCCCTAGGATATAGCTATTCCCGATCTTCATGAAAATGGCCGCTCCCCTAAACAATTGCTTTCGGTTAAACCTGCCGATCCGCCCGGGTGGAATGGATCGCGAAGTCCTGTAGTGCCGGGCACGGAAGATGAGGGGCCCCTCAGCAGGCTGTATAATGCCGGACAGGGACAGCGCTCCGCTTTCCTGCACTTCATCACTCATCCCCTAGGTGGTGCTGTCCGCCGTACAATCTTCATGGAAAGGGACAGCCGACTAAGACACTACATGCCTTTCAGTTGCTTTTTTTCTGCATCCAAAACACACAGAAAGTATTATTATTATTATACAGGATTTATATAGCGCCAACAGTTTACTCAACACTTTACAATATAACGGGAGACAATACAGCAACAATACAGTTGAATACAAGAGGGTTAGGAGGGCCCTGCTCCTTGGAGCTTACAATCTAAAAGTAGTAAAAGTAGGTTATATGGCTGTCAATGTCACAGTTCACACCAGTGCTTGCAGTTCCAGAGCGTTCTGGTTTCAGAAAAAAAAGAACAAGCTGCATTTTGTCTGCACAAAACTGTACTGGAATGCACCAAAATGCACAAAAAAAAAACGCATCGGAACGCACATGTCCCTATTTAAATTGAAGAAAAACAGAGTGGAAAAAATGAAATGCAATTCAGAAAATGCACTGGAACATGGCAAAAACACACACTGGAACAAGCCAGAAACACATCAAAAACGTGCTTACAAAAACGCATCTGGACTGCATTTCTATAGTGTGAACTGGCCCTTTGGGCAAGTCCACACTACATGCGTTTCAGTTGCTTTTTTTTCTGCATCCAAAATGCGCAGAAAGTAGGTTATATGGTTGTCAATGTCATAGTTCACATCAGTGCTTGCAGTTCCAGTGCGTTCCGGTTGCAGAAAAAAAAAGTAGACCAGGCTGCATTTTTCCTGCACAGAACTGTACCGGAACACAGATCAAAAAACGCACCGGAACACAGCAAAATGCACAAAAAAAAGCACTGGAACACAGCAAAATGCACAAAAAAAAAACGCACTGGAACACACATGTCCCTTTTTGAATTGAAGAAAAAGGGGGGAAAAATGAAATAAAATGCACTGGAACGTGCCAAAATGCATGAACAACGCGCATGCAAAAACGCATCTGGAATGCATCTGGACAGCATTGCTATAGTGTGAACCAGCACTTAGGGCCAGTTCACACTACATTGCTTTTTTTTCTGCATCCAAAACGCACAGAAAGTAGGTTACATGGCTGTCAATGTCATAGTTCACATCAGTGCTTGCTGTTCCAATGCGTTTTGGTTGCAGAAAAAAAGTAGAACATGCTGCATTTTTCCTGAACTGTACTGGAACGTGGTAAAACACATAAAAAATGCACTGGAATGCACCAAAAACGCACATGTCCCTATTTAGATTAAAGAAGAGGGGAAAAAATTAACTGGAATGCATAAAAATTGCACTGAAACGCATAAAAAATGCACCGTAACATGCCAAAAGTGCATGAAAAATATGCATGCAAAAAAAAACACATCTGGAACACAGTGTCGGCCCTAAAGACTGCATTTCTATCCTTTTTTTTTTGTTTGCTAGAAAACTACTTAGAACCCCTAAACATTATATATTTTTTTAAAGCAGAGGACCTACAGAATAAAATGGTGGGTGCTGCAATTTTTATGTCACATGGTATTTGCGCAGCAGTTTTTCAAAAGCAATTTTTTTTTTTTGTAATTTTGAATTTCAGTGTGCAACATGTCACGCTTTACAGGTCACCACTTTAGATTTACAGAGGAGGTCTGGTGCTAAAATTACTGCCCATGATATGACGTTCACAGTGATACATCACAAGTGTGGGATAATCGCTGTTGCGTACGTGCAGGACCGACACATGCGTTTGCCTTTGTGTGTCAGCACAGGGGATGGGGGGTGCTTTAAATGGCGACAAATGATGGAGGTTGTTTAAATTTTTTTTTTTTTTTTTACTGTAGCTTTACATTTTTTTTTTAATCACTATTATTGTTATCACAGGGAAAATAAATATCCCGTGTGATATCACTAGGCAGTGACCGGTACTCTTTATGGAGTGACCTGGGGTCTAGTCAGGGATGGACTGATCATTTGGAAACTCAGGCACTGCCCGAGGGCCCGGGGTCAGTAGGGGGCCCCATGAGATGCCCCTGGTACCTTTTTCATAGGCTTTTTTGAGTTTGGGCAAGGACACAGGGGGCCCCATGATCCCCTATTGCCCGGGGGCCCAATGAGTTGTCAGTCCGCCCCTGGCTGGTAAATGTGACATATATACCGCACCCTTCCTCCACTCTCCATCCTGCTCAATCATATTATGTGCTTGCAGCTACTGGTGGAAAGTAGAAGGAAGTCGGCAGCATTGCGGGGGCACACAGGTAGGGTGATGGGTGTAGTGAGGGAGCAATTACTGGAACCGATCCCCTGTATGGCTTTCTCTGCAGCAGCTGAAAGCAAGCAGAAGAAGTCAGCTTTCAGCTGCTGCAGGGAGAGCCATACAGGGGATGGGTTCCTGTAATTTCCCCTCCCGTCATGCCGATCACCCTTTCTGCCCACATCTGATTCACCCAGCTGCCTGGGCCCCCCTGCTGGCCTCGGCCCTGTACAAGAGGACTAGTGGTACCCCCTTATCCACGGCCCTGATTATACCCTCTTAGGATAGGTTGCTAAAGAGGTTCAGGCAAATTTAGCTCTGTAGCTCCTCTGTAATAATTTGTGCGGTGTGTGATTATTTTTGGCTGTTTTGGGTCTCACTGGCTGTAGGCTCAACTTCTTCCCCCTTCCTTCTGGTGGATTCTAGAATGCTAGTAGGCTAGAATAGGCAGACCAAGGCCTGAATATTCATGTGGTCTCAGCCAATCCCTGAGGGGGAGGACACCCAATAGGTGACTGAGGAATTCATACATATTCTGGGGTCTAGAGCAAAGGGGTTCTTGTCCAGGAGAACAGACCCCAGCCTGATGGGCTGATTCCCTTCTGGCAGTCAGTGTAGCTGAAATTTGCAGGAGTTCAAAAGTCCCAGCTCAGTGGGATTTTCTGAAAATATCTGGAGCCAAACCAAGTGTCAGGGAATCCCTGGGAAACATCTGGTGTGCAGATATGCCACAGAATGGTGACCAGAAGCATGCATGCACGCAGGAATGTACTCTTGCTCACGCGCATGCACATGCACAATTCCTGTTGGCACCAGATGTCCGCTTGTTGATGACCATTGCTATTCCAGTGACCACGCTTCTGTCTTTGACCCTGGCTCCCTGTCCTGCTCGAGTGCCTGCCTGGATGTCTGCTGTACAAGTTCTGTGCACCACTGAGTGTTCCTTCATCAAGTCTGCTGAGAGCTCTGATAAGTCACACGCCCTGAACCTGCAGTGCAAGTGTACCATTGCCTGGACTAGATTACTGAACACAGCTACTGCTCCTGATCCTTTGGTCCGCCAGTTTCCTTGGGACCCCCCATCTCCTGCTTCAAGTCTTCCTATCAACATCTGCTGGCACTCATGTTCCTTCTGTTCCACTTCCAGTGGGGCCTGGGCTCGAGATACAAGAGACCTTGTCATTTCAGTCTCCTATTAGGTACGTGGCGTCAAAGGAACTCACTGAGGATCTGGTCTGGGAATTCACTGGAGAGGTGTCTGGCTGACATTGGATGAAGGCGTCCAAGTATCCAGGGACATTGTGAGTACAGGCCCAGGCGTAGGGTCCTAGTGACTGTCTGCTGGTACTACTATCCCTTTAAGCATTTGCTCCAGTGCTACTAGTTTGGGACCTTTCCTTTTCCTTGGAGTCCCAGAGTTGCTGCTCCCTCTAGTGCAGTGGTTCTCAACCTTCCTAATGCCGTGACCCTTTAATACAGTTCCTCATGTTGTGGTGACCCCCAACCATAAAATTATTTATCCAGTAATTATAATTCATGAAGTGTCGTTTTACCTCCAATATTGCTGCTTTCAACACAGTAGCTGCTTTCTACACAGTAGCTGCTCTTTACACATCGGAAATATGTGTTTTATGATGGTCTTAGGCGACCCCTGTGAAAGGGTCGTTCGACCCCCAAAGGGGTCGCGACCCACAGGTTGAGAACCACTGGTCTAGTGTCTGCTAAGAGGGGACTAGCCTAAGAAATATAGACAAGGCAGAGAATGTCCTCCCTGCACCCCCAACCAAGTTTAGCTTGCAAAAAAGAATTAAAAGACACTTGATCATCGAACTGTAAGGTTGATTGTGCTGCTGTGTGCCTGGCTGCTTCTACACCGAATAGGGAAGAGAACCTGGGACAAACCAGCAGGCCCGTCAGGGGGCTAGCTGTACATGTGGGGGCTCATCCGAGATTCCTTCTTGGGTGCACACATCCAGGTCAATACTCATGGAGCTTACAGTGGAGGGGGAGGTGATAGCTTCAGGGAATGATCTGATGGTTGTGACCCAAGTATAGTTTTTAGGTGGAGGTGGGGGGCTTCCCTGAATAAATGAGTTTTTAAAGATCACCTAAATGCATACAGAGCAGGAGCTAACAGGATGTACTGGGATGGGGGGGGGGGGGGGCAGAGGAGAGGATGGGAGAGGTTCTGGAGAAGTCCTGACGGAGAGCATGAAAGGAGGTAACAATGGAGCTAGAGAGTAGGAAGTCTTAGGAGGAGTGGAATGGATGATCTGGGCAATATCTTGAGATGAAGTTGGTGATTTAGCCGGTGGCAGTATTGTGGATGGCTTTGTATGTTGTGGTTAGTATTTTGAATTGTACACATTGGGCTAGTGGAAGCCAGTAAAGGGATTGGCAGAGAGGGGCAGCAGTCACATATCGGTTAGTAAGGTGTATAGGTCTAGCAGATTTCAGGACAGACTAAAAGGAGAATGTGTAAAGGTACAAATTCCAACAGACACACTCCGAGATCTTGTGG